GCCCCCCAACATACTGCATCTCTTCCATCTGTTGTTGTGCAATCTTGTCATTANGTGTCTAGAATACAACAGACGAGTCTGGTAAGCACGATTCCTACAGTATCAAACTTGCTAAATCGGAGCTTTGCAACTAAATCAGGCAGTTTAAACTGCAAACCCAACATGTTGTACTGTAAATGCATTTATGTTCGCGAGGACTAAATTTCGCGCAACGGAGCAAATAGAGAGTTCGCGAGGGATTTTAGTTCGCTATACAGCAGAACCAAATACAAAAGGGAATGCCGACTTCCGCCCCCCCCTCTTTCATGGGTTTACCCGGCCCCGGAAATCCCCCATATTTGATAATAATAAAGTCCCAATATTTTTCTTTTGTCACACAAAATCGCCGGCTATGGAATTTTTTGACAAAACGCTACTTAGTACAGAGTAACAGTGATTTGGTTGCAGTTAAAAATTCATACCCAACTGATGGCTCGCGCTGAGAATCACACGGGATCTGTATCGTACCGAAGGACCAGGCATCGAACGGTTAGATTTTTACTCGGATATTCAAAGATGAACTTGTAAAATACATTTTCAAAAGCAGGAAAATCTTGTTTCCCGGCATTTATCTCTTGAAATACGGCGCTGATTTGACACAAAAATTAGTTTCATGCCCCGCTCCTGGCTTTCTCAGCTAGCTGCATGAATTTTGACGGTATGCAAATCATGCGTCACGTGTCCGCATTTCGCGTCTCTGATTGGTTGTGCGTCAGTCGGAGCAGCTCGCCGCGGTAACATACAAGCGGGCCGACGCGATGTAAACAAATTTTCTTTGTTTTAATATAAGCGCTAAAACGCTTTTTCCACAACTACACATCGATCTTCTAGTGAAGGAATGCATAGTTCCAAGAATCTTTCGAGAAAATGTATATTTCTATGGGGATTTTTGGTGTTTTCGGCGTGATTTTGCAAACCGGAAGTATACGGACCTCGGCGTGCCTCGGCGTGGGTTCGTCGTACCCACGCTAAATTTTTAGCATTTTTACCCTCCGTTTTACCAACCAAAACAAAATACAACTCCCGCTAAGGAGAACCCAGTAACATTTCAGATCCCAGCAATTATGTTTTTGATCAAAATATTTGTGGATGTGCCTGCATTTTAGCCGTATTCCTGTCGCAAGCGGCCCCGCGACGTGCACGCTAAGATTTCTTGTACGCAGTTGACATGGCCTGACACTGGATTCGGTGTCTCATGAAATAATTTTTATCAGTATAAATAATTCTGATACTCAACAATAGCGCAGAAATATTCTATTTCTTGAAGAACTGGACAGGTCTACTGTTATTTGTGTCTATTTCTGCTGAGACAATACGGATAGTTAGGCTCTATGGGTAGTAGTAACGTAACGTTACATGGAAACCTGGAAGACGGGAGTGTAGCGATACGGTATATAAACAGTTCGCGAGGGACATGACTTCACGAAGCAAGGCTCTTCGCGAAAACAGCGAAGTTAAATCCCTGACGAACAAAAATGCATTTACAGTACTTTAGAAATGTTGATAAGTGTATACTTACAGGTACAAGGAATTTCTTCACTTCGGCCACGCCGTGTGCAATTCTCTGGTGAGCATCTGCTACGTGACCAAACGCCTCAACCAACACATGCAGCTCCTCATTCAAGTGGAGGTACTTCGGGTCTTTGGACTCTCTGAGCTCCTCCTCCTGTGGAATAGGTACAAATGATGTGAGGACTGATGACACTGTTGCTCTGACTTGTGCACATTTGCATTCTGCGCTAACAACATGGTTTTATTGAAAACAGGACCATAACCACACAGCGTTCTTACTCTTGACCAATATCAAGTGATGATCATCAGGAGGCCAGCAGTCATTCCACTTACTCTAGGAATATCATGTGTGCACATCATGAATGTATAAAATTTGCCATCAACAAACCTTCTTCTTATCTCTCATGGATCCTCTGCCCAGAATAGACATCTTGGTGCGAGTCTCTTCCTGTAGGCGCTTCAACGAGTTACCCTTTGGACCCAAGAGCTTCCCAACAAAGTTGAACTGGAAGATAACCAAATTATGTAAACTGGTGTTCACTTTGGGGACAAAAAACTGTGGTTTCCTACTATTTGCTATGACAAGAACAATCACAATATACATACATGCAGGCTTATCAGCAATGATGCCAAAAGGGAATTACATTTAGAGTGCATCATACAAATCTGACCTTATCAATGCTCCGTCAAATACATTTTCAAACAACCCATTTCAGTATTGTAAAAACCCCTTTGGTCTGGCTCAGATGTTTAAGACCGAGAACTGACCTTTGGATACTCTTTGATAGGAATGAGGACTCTCTCCAAGATGCGGTATGGTTTGTCTGTGTGCACCTCCTTGTACTTTGGCGGCTCCTTGGACTTGTCATCCTTCTCAAGCTTGGAGATTTCTGCAATGACATATGATGTTGGTCAAAGATAGTACAACAGTACTGGTACATGTATTTAATGTAATTCCTGCAGAATAAAGTTGTTACTGTACTTTTGGTGCAAATTAGCCCTGCAGCACCTTTCTTTACACTTTTATCACTCACAAGAAAGAAAGTGTTTTCTTCATGGATCAAACAAAATTTTGAATCCAAATATACCAGCTGGGATCAGAAATACACCTAGCAACATAATTTTGGACAAAGGACACCATGTCTGGGGCTCATCTGGAAAAATCAACTGACATGTATTGTCCGGCCATGGGACAATGGCTTTTTCTTGCCCAATTAGCACAGGTAATTAGCATGACAGTTATCAGGGCAGTCTGCTGGCAGGTGTTACTACATCTGTCTACAATAGCTGAAATCTCTACAAAGAGAACATCGACTCTCAAAACACTTTTCACAACAGTTATGTGAGAAAGACTTCCAGGCTATGCAAAGTCTGTTTTGTTTAGATAATCCAACTGGTTAATGTTTTCAATAGGACTTATACCATTATAGAGTAACTGTGACCCAAATTTGTGGAGGTTGACATAAGACCTGCGTGCAGCATGTACTAACCACTAAACTAATCACATTCTGTTGGTGACTTGGATAGGGTTTTGTGTATGTATGTGAGCAAAGTGCAGTGAGAAACTTAACAGTAGTTAAACTCATATAATTTCCGTGCACATCTTACTCAATAAACCTGACATTTTTATGATTTGTGATGAGGGGAAAATATGGTGCACACATGATGCTTTTGTGTCAAAATCTAAATAACTCGAAAACAAAGATCAACGCTATTCTTTATAAATTTCACCTAACGCCTAATCTCCAAGTTGGCTTCGCCAGCCTGTATGTCTAAATATAGCTGGATAAGGTTCAGTAGAAAATGCGCCAAACAACAGAAGAGACCAGAACCAGACGACATATGGTGTGTAGACATGCAGACAGGAAGTTTGCCCCCCTCCCCACGAATCTGGCTGTGATTTCAGTTGATGTCCGGAAATCCTTTGCGGTCACTTTGTTCTCTTCCGTTTCAAAAAGGCTAAAGGTATGATAGTTACACATGTAGCAGGGCAAATGAGGAAAACATTATCTTTGTAAATACTGTACAGGAACACATGACTCAAGAGACAGACCGGAAGCGAGCGGACCGCTGAAAATGTTTTTAATCAAGCTCCTCTTTGTCTGTTTAAAAAAAACTCCTGGAATAAAATATGTTTTTCATTCCCTTCAGAAGCGTACGTCGCCATATCATACGAATATATGGGGAATTTTGGCACACAAAAACGTCAAAACCTAGCATTCGAAGGTGTGAGGATTTTAACCATCTTTGACATGTGAACAAAGAACGACGCCGGCTGCCCCACGCCATTTTCTGACATACGCACCTTCCTCAATAAGTCTTGATGCATGGACGAATGACGGGTCCAAACTGTCCTTCTCTGCAAGGAGCTGTGGCAGGTACTTGCTGGTCTCTTCTCCTACTTCTTCCTGTGCCATTTCGATACCAAAAAGTGACCAAAACTAGAACGAAAACACAACACACCTAAATCCCTCGGATGCTACCGGTAGAATGTGGCAACACACGTTGGAAGGGATGAATGTCAATAGAAATCCTTCCGCATACGAGAAAATAGTCCCAATGCTTTGAGCAGATATATAATTCAAAGACGATCCTCGAGGTATTACGACACCATAAATCGCGATCTTGAGTAACTTTTCGATAGATTATTATTATCAGTCTCGACAGTGAAAGGAAATATTTTACAAATAAAAAATTCGTATGAGGTCATTTGTTGTCGGAAGATTACAAGCAAAAGTGGCAGTAAGTCGGCTTTCGCGCGTTTTCTTGATGAATATTCATGAGTCATTCCCAAACACGTGGGCAGCGTGACAATGATTAGTGCTGTGTTAGCCAGGTATGAAAGGGATCAGGGAAAAGGGATGGAAGATGAATAAAATCATTTCTATGAAAATAAATGAATAGAAATTTGATGACTTAAAATCATTGGATAAGCTAAAGGATAAGTCCACCAATTGGTCCTGTGCTATATAACCCTAAAATTTGTTATGGAGGTTTATCAAATCCTTGGTCCAAACATGGAGGTAGAAAATCTCTTTTACCTCCATGGTCCAAAATTGACTAAACCCTGGACCCTGCAATGCTATCCATTAAAAAAATTAAGTGATGGTCACAAAATAGAATCCCACTCTCCATTCAATGGCTTCCACGTCACTTTATTTATTTCAATTCTTTTATTTACTTCACACCAAGGACATTATACACATCTGTGTATAATGTCCTTGTTCACACTGAGCCTAAGAAGGAAAAGAGAAAGAGTTTGTCTGTTTCAGCAAGGACATTATACAAGAATGTATAATGTCCCTGGTCTCCTCAACAACTCAGTGTGGCATCTATAAATAGTTATATATGCAAAATGCACTAAGTCAAATAAATTGAAAACAAAAAACAAAAACACATCACTTATGATCATCCATATCACATTCATTGTTTAATCATTCTAAACTTTCCAAAGAAGCTGTTGGTGCGTCTTTGGCCTAAAACAAATCATCCTCCTCTTATGTATTAAAGCAGCCTTGTACTAGAGATCAATGGTGGAATGTAAACTCTGGAATGGGACTCAGTGAACATGGAAGTGTTAAAGCTGTATATGGCAAGTCATTCAAAACAATAATGTACACTTTTAGAGCTTCCACCACTGGCACTGCACAATTTCCTTTTCACTTACACCACTAGTACACATTGAAAACAGACCAACATCATTCTGTGTAAATATGAGCTTAAGGATGGACAGTGAAGTACATGTATACAAAATTTGAATGTCATTTTACATACTGCATTGGACAGTTGTTACAGATTCTTAAGTTTTTGTTTTGCTTGTTTATACAAGTACATACTGTTGTTCCCTAAGTTGGGAACAAAACAAATATCAAATCAATGAGCTTCAAACACAGAAAGGAGTTACTTAGTATCAAAAGCACTCCATCTGTGAACCTTATTGTAATGCTACAGTATTGCTGATGGATTTAGTTAGAACTCATACAACATCTATGAAGAAGGAAAATATAACACAAGTCAAACCATGTACTGAGTATTGCACTATCAACTAAAAGTAAAGGCAGATCTCTGAACTTCATGATATGAGAAGGCAACTGATATTAGGGAGCTGGCAAGAGCTACGGTGGATGGCACCCAGGCTACATCCAATCAACACCAGTTACCAAAGTTGAGACGATAATGAGATCTTTAATAAATCCTACATTTATATCCCCTATTCAATGGTGCATTCTGAATGGCATTTCAATGGTGAGTTCTAAAAATCAAATCCTATTATCCTGCTGACAAGAACTTTTACCACTTGCTACTCATGTCTATCTGAACTGCAAGGCATCCAGTTCCATGTCAGTTTTAGATGATTTAGATACAGGAATTGTGCTACATTTTTCAACATGGTTTTAGATGCTTTCACACCACTTTATTGTAATAGTGGCAATGGTATTTGATGTGTTTCCCTTATAGAAAACATGATTAAAATACTTGTGGTAAGATTTAAAAAGAGTACTGTATTTTGATGATGATTTCCAGCTGAATTGATACAAATGGACACAAGGAGGATTAAAGAGAGTTAGATGGCAGATGAAAAATATACTTATGCCACCTTTATGGAGAACACAACTAAACATACATGGGAATGACTAAAAATACATTTTGTTACTGCAAAAATCAAACTGCACAAGTACTGATGAACAAAATACATACACTGTGTGGGGAAAGTGAAGTTCGAATATGTTAGAAGAGTAACAGTCATTTCCCACTGGATACATCTGTGACATCATACTGTACCCTCCAAGCTGTACAAGAGAAAGGAGATACTGTAGTTTTATGTACAATAGGCCTCTATGAAATATCACAAAAGTAGCTACATTACAATTAGACTTACTCTCCAATACTTTTCACAATGATGAGGAGACAAACACACATAACTGTTATCCAAAAACTTTATGAGCTAAAAAGCTAACAGGCTTTGCGGTTACCAGTATAGAATCCCTCATCAAGACACAATTATTGGTGACCAACCAATTTTGTTACCTATGAGAACAAACAAATTTAATTTCCTACTTCATAACCATGTAATTTACATGGCAGATTCACTATAATAATGTTTTTACACTTTTCTCCCTTTCTTCTGGATACATGTTTGTAAAATTTACATAAAAAAGGTTATTGCAAGATAAATGTTCTCCCCCAAACACCAAAGAATACATTTCAGTCAGTTTGACCCGACAATGATTGCACCGCTGAGGATCATGTGCAGAGATTTGCATGACGGATGTAGCAGCATCTTCCCGTGCCAAAGTTTGTCAGAGTTCGACGTTGTTGTCTGGAACTTCGTCGCTGCAGCATGACTTACAAGCCTTGCTGGTCACACACTTGCCACAGAGCAGACAGGGTGCTGCCAGCAGGAGGAATGGGGAGGCCACGAGGAGTAAGATACCAAAACCAGCAAACAGGCCGACAACCTGGGGAGAATATACAAACTTGGGTCATGTAAGTTTTCATAACAGAATTATTAATAGCCTGCATGCCAAACTGTTTTCAGGACCTGCACTGGCCAGCTCCTCAGCTCTGGGGACAACATGCCTCCAAGGAAATCTTACCACAGCCACAAGTTAGATACTGGAAAAACTTGGGGGTTATGGCAAAATTGGGGAAAGAGTCACAGATGAAAGTTTTCAAAATGTATCCAGTTGCTTGCGTTTCTTTTGTATCTTTCACAGCTGGTAAATCTGTTAACCTACAAATACAAGTATTTCAGAAAAGACTTTTTTGATTTGACTTAAGCCTACAAGAACAATAATTTCCAACCAAACTCTCACCTGTGTCCTGTACCAAATGACGGATGCCCTGGAATGTCCTAGTTTTTTGCGGCATGGACCCTTGTCATAATGCCTCAGCAGAAAGTCATCCTGGAGAAGGAAATACAGGCATAGAGCATTGAGCAAGCAATTCCCCTAGTCAAGAGGAAGCCCTAACAGTAAAATGTCCTTACCACTGTTTGTAGCATTGTTGGATCAATGAACAATAAATATTGACAATTCAGTAATGTTTGCTGAGATGCCTGCAATAGTACTTACGTCCAAAGATGCAAGGCAGTACCAACAGAAGACATGTCGGCATCTCTTACACATCATCTGTGCACATCCCTCGTCCCTCTCTATAGGCAGATGACAATGGGGACACCTCTTCACTATGGCATCTTCATCAGCTTGGAACGGAATTCTGCGACAGAGAAGAGTTCAGAATATGTATCAAAAAGGGGTGAGGCTGTGTGTGGGGTAATAGTTAGAGTGTTTGCCCTGAAAAGGAACCACCACACTTATCAAAGGAGAATCCATGGGTCTTTCCTGGCTTAAATGGGTCAAACCTTACAGTCTTGTGTACCCTTTATATATCATGCTTGGAGCCATCAGCCTTACACAGTTTGCCATGTTAGCAAAGAAGTAGTTATGGGAAGACTTTATTTGTGGCTGCTGTGAAAAGTCCAAGTCAAATTTATCATGAAAGTGTCTGTTAACCCATAAGAAGTGTAAAAACAAACTTACCCCAAATCCAGTGAAGAGCCAGCTCCACTTTTGACAAACTCATCACAGGACAGGTCTGTGTGCCACTGGGGAAGAACAAAAGAATCTTCTTGAAAACCACATCACTTGTAAATTGTAGTACATGTACCTTATCAGAAAGTTACCCAGCAGAACGCATTTTTAGATAGAAAAACTTCACATGGCTGTTGAGAAACATAGACAACACACGTGTAAGTTTAGAACTGCACCGTCCACTAAATGGCAAACAGATTGTACATTACCTTCAATTTACACCTTGAGCAGAAATTCAGGCCACACTGGAAGGGAAAAGAGAGTTAATATACAAAACGGCACTGCCTTACTCTCGCCAGGTAAAATGGACACACATCATGACACTGACATCAAAAAGTATCAAATATGACATACAGCAAATCGACACCCACCATTTAATGTTATATTAAATAATTTGAGATGACAATGGGAAGTACATGTAGGTAGGATGTACCTTTGGACATTTGACAGGAGAGGCCTGGTAGGGGTCTCTGGAGCACACATGGCAGATGGTCTCACATCCCGCCTGAGGACACCATGTTCTCCTAGGGTCCAGATCAACTTCTATGGAGTTGCCATGAAAACATAGGCGTGTGAGCTTAAAAGTTACAAGATTTACTCAACAAAGAGATGAACAACACCACTAGAACACTGGCTGGAATACTAGTAGATTATGTCTGAAATTTTACAAGTTACAACCAAGTCAGCATAGAATCTTTTACATTATAACTGACCTTATTCAAAATACAATCTAATACTAGAATGTCATTTAAACATTTTGCCATTCATGTGTTCATGACAAAAAAAAGGTGCTGTTGACTCGCAATAGTCGATAAAGGAAAATTTTTTTCCTTACCTTGTTCAAACTTCAGCTTACAATACCTATCATACAGCTTTTGGTCCACAAGTTTCTGCACCTAAAAAAACAAAGGAAATTTTACCACCAGTGTAATGCCAACTAAAACAATGTCGACATTTTCTTGACATCAAGTCTGCAAGTAACAATGCCAAGTTAAGCAGGCCTATAAAAGGGAACTGTTTATTAGTACAGACCTACTCTTTCCAGCATGTATGATTGAAGAGCAGACATTACTGACTTTCCCCATGCCACAAGCTAGCTTAAAACCAAATCTGCATTGGTTTCAGTATAAGTAAGCAAGCAGGGAGTATGTGTCTTATGTGAATTGGAATGTACCACATGTAACTTGTGTGTGTGCATGGTAAATAGACTATAGCTGACCTCAAAGGCTTCCAGTGTACCCTGTTTAGGACAAGAGGCATCTGGACAGGTCAGGGCAAGAACAGTGCCCTCTCTAACCATCACCTGGATGTACTGCTTCATACACTGTCAACAAACAACAGACATAGAAACACAATATTGAAAAAATTTATGTTGACTATTATAGTATTAACTGTGCCCTACTCCTTTTTTTCTGCAGACAAGCTAACAAAGTAAAAATCTCATGGCAATTTGCCATCCTTTAAAGGTCACCTACCTAAGATTCTTGGCAGGAATCACACATTTCTTCCGACATACACAATCTTATA